TCTTATATCATATTTACATAGATTTTACAATATTTACCTTTTTTTAAGGTGTTAAGAGAGGGTTATTAACATATTTACGTTAATTCGTTATCTTTTTTTTTCGCGGTTAAGTTGAATGTATTTTCCTAAAGGAAACGGCGTTATGTAATAAAGACTAGCCTAATTATTTTGAGGCTGATGAAGAGATAATTGTTAAAAGTAATGTTTTGCATGTTATATTTCAGACATGTTGAGCTTTGCGTCTTCATTGTGCCCGCGCCAGGAGTTAACAACACAGAACCCTGCTTGTCTGAGGAGCAGGCGATGTTCTCAGCTTCTTCAGAAGAGAGGGAAAGACGGTTAAGGCGAGTAAAGTTCATAATTCCATCATGTTATCTCTATTTTTTTTACTAAGGGTAAAATAATGTTTGTTTTTGTAGATGTTGAAAGCCAGAGACATAGGAGAGCATCATTCTTTTGAGATTGATGCGAGTTATTTTTAGAAAATAAAATTTTCTGTTGTCTCCTGCCTGTGTACTAAACATTTTGATGCAACAACAGTATGATTACGTGTTCATGTTTTATGTAAACCATTGATGTCTGTGTTTTTCATTGCAGAACTCAAACCAACTTTGGAGTTGTCTGATTTGGAGCATCATCATTCTTGGTCTTCCTTTCTTAAAGGAATAGTTCACACAAAAAAAATTATTTACTTGCCCTCATGTCATTCCAAGCCTATAAGACTTTTGTCTATCTTTAGAACACAAATGAAGATATTTTAAATTTTCTTTCATAATTTTTTGTTAATCCACTGAGAGTCTAGATAATCAGTATTTTCAAGCTTAAAAAATACAGAGTTATTGTAGAAGTAATCCATGCCAATATTTATAGATGAATAAATCTTAAATTATATCATAGCGAACATGTCTGTTCAGAAGAAAATACTGGTCTCCCAGACTTACAATAGAGGACAAAAATTAAGAGAATATTAAATTAGCAGAGTTACCGGTTAAATCCAAAGAGATATTCTTTATAAAAGTTAAGAGTTAACCACACCTACCTAAAACGGCTCGTTCGAACACGCCCCCACACGATGTGGGAATATTTGCATAACGCCGCCCAAATGTTCACGCAAAGAAAGAAGGAGTAACTTTTATTCTCTCTGTTGTTGCGTGAAAAGCGAAACTACTTTGTTTGGCCTTCCAAAAGAGGACAATATCTGATTCGTCATGCCAAGAGCTGATCCGTGCTGGTCGCTGAGGAAATACATCAACTTCGCACTGTGGATCGCCAGATCGGCTTTCACCGTGGACGAAGCGGAGCGAACATGTCTGTTCAGAAGAAAATACTGGTCTCCCAGACTTACAATAGAGGACAAAAATTAAGAGAATATTAAATTAGCAGAGTTACCGGTTAAATCCAAAGAGATATTCTTTATAAAAGTTAAGAGTTAACCACACCTACCTAAAACGGCTCGTTCGAACACGCCCCCACACGATGTGGGAATATTTGCATAACGCCGCCCAAATGTTCACGCAAAGAAAGAAGGAGTAACTTTTATTCTCTCTGTTGTTGCGTGAAAAGCGAAACTACTTTGTTTGGCCTTCCAAAAGAGGACAATATCTGATTCGTCATGCCAAGAGCTGATCCGTGCTGGTCGCTGAGGAAATACATCAACTTCGCACTGTGGATCGCCAGATCGGCTTTCACCGTGGACGAAGCGGAGTCCAGCCCGGGGTCGTCACATGTGGTTGCTGCAAGCCCACCGACCGCTCCTTCATTGAATCCGCCGGCCACACCGTTCTTAAGCCCACCATGTGTGATGCTTGTGAAAGCGAAACTACTTTGTTTGGCCTTCCAAAAGAGGACACGACTAGAAATCAGTGGTTAAGTTGCATTTACAACACTGTTCCAGAACAGTTCAACCCAAATATTCAGATGTGTGCAGCGCATTTTATGGAGGACTGTTTCCTGATCCTGGGAGAGTAGACTACAATGTCGGCTGTTCTGACTCAGACTGTAAGTACGTTTTCATATTTAAAGGATTTGTCGCTGATGATTCAAATGCGAGTTTTGTGCAGTGTAGAGTAGAGCTTGTTGTTTGGTTTTACATGGTTTTATGTTTACGCAATGCCTAACAAGACAGTATAAGTCATTATAATCCGTAATTATGTCCCCACTGGATGCAACAAATGCCTCGTTTATAATGTGTTTGAATGTTTTTGTCTCGTCGCTCTGGCCGGACAGGGCATCACAATATGGTAAGGGGCGTAATCTTTCCGTCACACGCTTGAGGTATACGGCCAATCACAACGCACTGGATAGCTGGCCAATCACAGCACACCTCGCTTTTCAGACCGATGAGCTTTGTAAAAATCTATGCGTTTCAGAAAGGCGGGGCATAGAAGAGAAACAATAATGTACAGTATGTGGAATATAACTTTGAACCTTAAACCGCATAAACACATTTCATTACACCAAATACACCAAATAATGTTCTTTTTAGCAGCATCATATGACCCCTTGAAACAAATTTACTTGGTGCCTTTTGAGAGAAACAATGCCCGGGTGAAACAATTGTGTTCAGAATATGTTCAGGTACAACACTAAATTGGTGTACTGTATCACATGCAATTTACAGTACTGACTAACAATGTCAACTATTATTTGTAAAAGAGCTAACCAAATTATTATTATTTTAGAGGGTGATGGAGCTGGCCGGTTTCAATCTGGCAAAAACCAGACGCCGTGGACGTAACCTTATTGGCCAAAGGGCAACCATCCAAGTGCCTGGACAACGTGGGGGGAAACATCTCAATGTGTGCAGCTATATCTGAAGATGGTGTGGTAGGCTGTAGACGAGTTCTAGGATCATACAACACTGAACACCTGATAGCTTTTCTAAATGAGCTTGAGCAGGCCTGTCAGGGTGAAGATGTCAGTTTCCACCATGCAGAGCTGGTTCGGGAATAGTTTCAGGCACATCCTCGGTTAATGACCCTCTACCTTCCCCCATACTCTCCTTTCCTCAACCCAATTGAGGAATTCTTCTCTACATGGAGGTGGAAGGTGTATGATCACCATCCCCATGAGCATGTCACCCTTCAAGCCATGGATGAAGCTTGTGGTGATATAACTGCAGAGCAATGTCAAGCCTGGATTCGTCATGCCAGAAGGTTTTTCCCGCAGTGCCTGAACAATGAAGACATTCACTGTGATGTTGATAAATTTATGGCCAAATGTTGAAGACCGGCTTGATAATTAATGTGAATTTCAGGTCTACATTTACAGGTTGTGGTTGTTGTTGTTGTTTGGGTTTTTTTCACATGCAATCACAGTATTGTTGTAAACTAAAATTTAAATAAAATACTTATTTTTTTGCTTGGGTATGTAAATGACTTTTGATGTGTTCTTTGATCACATTTTCATGTTGTATAAAGTTTTTTTTAATGAATTTTTTTATAATATAGCTTTTGTCTGAACGCAAGTGTAACATTTCCTGTGATGGCTGTGTATACAGTTTTACAGTACAGTAACATTCATTCCGCACCGAGGGTGATTTGAAACCTGTACCTTGTTTGCTACTGAATGAACTGATTGTTATAAGTACTAAGTTGAAAAAAGATCTTACTGTTGTGTTTTGGTGATTAAACTAAATGTTCTCAATACATATCATAATGATCTTGTGTTCTGAAACAATGATTATGTGGCATGAAAATATGTGCAACTACAATGAAATCATGAGATCAGGTTTTGAAAGAATGACTAGTGGTATTACAAGTGTGATCAGTTTAAAGTTTTGTACTAAGAGTTTTGAAAATGTACACCTTACTTATGAAAATAGTACCAAACCAATTAAAAAAACCTGTAAACTACAGAGATGTCTTTTTTACACTGTTAATGGTAATATAGTTCCTAAATGAATGAATTTGTAGTCTAGACACAGTGTTTGGTGCTCTTCCATATAAATGTCTTACTCATCTTGGGGAGAAGAGGAGAGGAGTGGTGCACTGGGACTTCCTTGGCACTAAGCTGTCTCACTCAAATCCCCATTTCCCTGCTATTGCTTTGTATGACTATTTACACCCAGGACAGCGTGGATTAGAAGTGATTCACAGCGCACACGTGAGAGAATCCGTGCCCGTCCTCATTTGCTCTAATGCGTGCCACTAGTGGCTATGGATCTTGGCAGTTTCACTATGATTGACACTGATTGTTATTGAGCTTGCCCTTTATTCTTATCAACGTGCATCTCCTGATCAATGGAGTTGAACACCACATGAATAAAGGCTGACAGTGGGGGAGGCAAACGCTCCTAACTTGCTACCAATATGTGATGAACGGGGGGCCGAGACAACACACATGTCAGATATGACACTCAGTATCCTCCATATTAATAGCCTTGTGCTCCAGCGTTTTACAGATGCTGCTTGAGGTTAATGTGTTTTCTTAGGCTGTCAACAGACTTGAAAAATTGCTGGACTAGGAACAACAATGGTCAGTCTATGCTTTCATGACAAGAGAGGAACAAATATTTTAAGGAAAGTCTTTATTCCCAAATAAATCAGGGCTCAACAGTGTAGATGGCCCCAAGTTATTTAGCTGAATAACATAGGGTTTTGTCGAAACTGTGAGAACGATATGATTTTTTATTTTTCTGAATATACTACATACTATATACAGTATATATATATATATATATACATATGCACTTTAATTGTGCGCAATAAGTAATAAATAGTAAAATTATACAATTA